TCAATGATTGCTTTGAAAATGTACCTCCCCAAGAGCTTATTAGAGGTGTGCTTGGATCTGGCCAGATGGCGTCATAGTCCAGCTTGGCACGTGTCTGCCTCACTTTGTGAGGGCGAGAAATAAAAATAAGGAGGTCTTGTAACCATTGTTATCCAACAGTGCTGGGGAATTATAGGTATTCTGGTTAATCAGTTATTCACCCATCAGTTCAATAAATGAACATCCACTTTGTGCTGGACAGAGTGCTAGCTGCTGCAGATACAAAGATAAATTAATTCCTTTCCTCTAAGAAGCCTACAATTTAACAAAAGGACAGACAAGTAAATATGTACTATAATTTAAAGGACAATTTCCATGACTGGGAGTATGTGTAAAATGCCCCTTCTGGTTGCCTAGACAAGTAGATACGTGGTGATATCACTCTTCCAATCTGGGACACCATTTAGAGGAGGAGAATTGAGGGCAGAAGGTAGTGAATTGGGGTTTCGCTCTATTGTTTGAATTGCTTGTGCACCCTCCGAACCAAGATGAATGGGTGGGTCTAAAACTAAGAGAGTGGTCAAGGTTAAAGACCCAAATTTGGAGGTCATCGTACACAAGTGGCAGCTGATGGACATGGATGATAGTACCTTGGAAGAATGTTAGGGTTGAGAGATACTGTGACACACTGTCATTTAAAGGGCAGGAAGGGGAAGAGGGGGCAGAAAGGAAAACAAAGAAGGAACAGAGAGGTAGAACAGGAACCAAGAGAGAATGACAGGATCAGAAAAACGAAGTGAGGATTTTTAAGATAGTCTCAATATTTTCAAAGTTTAATGACAGTTAGTTGGCTACTGTTCCATAAAAGGATTACTCTATTTCCAAAGAATTTGCACAGTGTCTTACACATGTGTTAAGAGATTGAAAATAAATTAGAACATGATAAATGCACTCTTAATGCTAAAACTACGAGCACAAGGTAACCTCTAGATAGTTTGGAAGGCACTTTGGGGTTTTCTCAGTGCCTCAGGGCACCATTATGAACTCTAGCTATTGTCCTGCTCAAGTGTGGGAGGGCTGACAAATGGAGCATTGATCGACCTCTGGATAAACCAACTTTCCCTCCCAATGGGAGGGCTCACTCACAGCAACAGAAAAGGGTATCCAGATCCCAGCTCAGGCTAGGAAGCCAGCTGACTCAATCAGGGGCATGAACCCAGCAGGAAAAACTGAAAACATTTCATCCTTCCAGTTCCCCCACCCCCTTGCCTATCATGTGAGACTTGTCACTAAAGGGAAGTTCAGAAAGCAAATCAACCTCCCATCCCATATCCCAACATACCAAAAATGATTGGGACATCTGTACACATGTGTTTCAAGGCCTCCCGATAGCTGTCCAAACACTTGGATCTGAGTTCATAATGGCGTGACAAACACTTGACATAATCAGTTTAATAGAGCCAAGAGAACCTGATTTAGAAACTTGTTTCTAAGGCTGAGCCTCTCCTAGGAGGGAACCTCTTGCCTTAAGGAGGGATTGTCACTGATGTTCTAGGCACAGGGGCTAAATGGATTAATCTTGGGTCTCCCTGGGCTCTGACTGTGAGATCACTCTATGCTTTGAGTTTTCCAGCTGTCAATTTCTGTTACTGTCCCATCAAAGACAACAAGTAAACTTGAGTCAAGGTGTCAGGGGATTGTTGTCCCCAGACTGCCAGGTTCTGGCACTGCCATGACCATGGAAGGTCTAGCAAAGAACGAGCTTTTCCAAGACAATCAAGACAGTCCACATGGGAATAATTCCCCACCTGTCCCTGCTGAGTGGGATTACTGGGTTTAGAGGCATTTGTGGAACGGTACAGCTCCCAATAAGGGGGTGGGAAAAGGGATAGGAAAAGGGGGAAGGTGCTGGTGGGAGGGGGCCAGGGCTGCTTGCCGCCCCCCGGGGCTATCTGCAGGGCAGTGGGCAGCTATGATTGTGCTTTCATCCACCAGCTGGAGTCAGAGCTACTCATCATCATCGTCACTGTCACCATTAGACTCCTCATCAGAATTATCACCATCATCATCGTCCTCATCCTCATCGTCGCCGCCATCATCCCCATCTTCATTGTCATCATCTTCAGTGTTTATCTTTCCAGAAAGCACATCTTCGATCCAGTCCTCCAGCTCCTCGGCTGTGGGCAGGTCATCGTCATCAGGGATCTCCATCCAGACACTGTCAGCCTGCAGCAAGGGACAGAGTGAGGGAGTGAGTGATGGAAGGACCAGCAGACCAGAGGATTCCAAGCAGCTGGGCCCTGTCATAGGGAACATGTGCACACGGTTTCATGGGAATGCCTCGATGCAGAATGCTATGTGTAGCAGTCTGCTTGTGCGATGTCAAAGGAAGCGTGCGTTCCAGTGTGTGTGTGTGTGTGTGTGTGTGTGTGTAATGTGCCCACAGAAGTCTCTGGGGAAGGAGAGCAGGTATGGAGGTGAGGCTCTGAGGGTTGTCAGGGGAATGAGTAAGGCCCAGCATACCAGGACTGGTAGCTGCTCCCACCCCACCCCTCTTTGAAATGCCATCTTCCCTACCTTCTGCATTACCCCCCCACCCTGAAGTAGTCCCTCCAGATCAGCAGCACTGCCTGGCAGAGTCCCCGTCCCACCCTAAACTGCCTGCCCTCCTGATCCCCGCCATTAGGTCTGGAAAGTGCTGGGGGGTGGCGGGGGAGGTAGCCCAGATTGGAACAGTTCCCAGGGGTATCGAAATCAAGTATTATTATGAATCGTAACTATATTTGCACTGTTTTTTTCTTCCGATTTCATGACTGTATCTACAAGATACCTATGTAATAATAATGACAAACATGTATATGATGTTTCCGGTAGGATAGCCATGAAACTATCACCAATGTTTCCCTCAGGGAATGGGACTAAGAAAGAGGTCAAGGGAGTGGGAAATACTTTTGCTTTTCACCATATATATTTCAAATGTTCCATTTATAAATGTTTTAACTGGAGTAAATTTTTGACAGTATTAATTACTATTATTAATTTAAAAAGCAGTGTACAGAATAAATAAATGTAGAATCCCCCAGGTGACCGAACATCCACCAACAGGATAACAGGACATTGCTAACTGGCCCCCACTCACAAGCATTCCCACCACAATTAATTATGCCTCTAATGACTTCTCTGTGACAATCTCTTTCTGTCCATTATTTATTTGCTCATTATATGTTGTGTTTGTCTTCCCTTCTGTTTTGTTATGATGGAGTTGTATCAGCAGTCAAGACTGAGGTTCAAAATTCCCCACGATCTGCCTGTCTACTACACACCAGCTTTTTCCACCCTCGGTTCCAGCTGTCTGCCTGGTGAGGGGTGGCCCTCCAAACTCATTCATGATCTTCCTCCTTTCCCCCTGCCCCATAGCCCCCTCCATCACCCCCTGTGCAATGGCAGCTTCACGTGTGGGTTCCTTTGTGTAAGAATAGTTTGTTGTTGGGCCTTAGGAGAAAATACAGGGTGGAAAGTTGGTGGAAATACTTGGGTAGAAAGTTCCAAAGAGTCAGTAAAACAGGATGGGCTGGCCCTGTAAAGGAAACATGCCCATGCATTTCCCAGGAAGTGCCCAGTCCTGAAGCCATAGATTGAGACAGGCTCAGAGACTAGGCTGGGGACACACACAGCTTGGGCAAAGCCAAGGGTCCTGCTCATTTCAGGGGAGGCTAGACTCCTATCCATGGGGTCACAGTCTGGGCTGCATGGCAGAAAACAGGACAGGTTAGCAGTGACCCGGGTATACTCACATCTGTCACATTCACCACCCCAATCTGTGGCTTGAATAGATCAATCTTGAAAGTCTTTTCCCAATAGGCAACGAGCTGAAACAACAAAAAATAAGATTAGACAGCAGGCAGAGGGCATTCCCTGTCAAAGCCACATTTTGTGGCTGGACCCACCTACCATCCCTTCATCGGTCACCGTCACTTAAAGGTTTCCAAGACAGCTGTGGGCACTTCAAAAATTGAAGCCTTGGCCTCAACCCTCAAACACTTTAAATAAGTGTGGAAAAAAAAGAGGTCATAACACCAACTATGAAAACATGTACTATAAAAGCTTCTACAGCTGTAAGGAAGAATATTACAGAGATGGCCCAATGTCAATTCCCAAATGACCATGGCTCTTTTATACTTCATGAGTGGTCAGGGAGCCATTTTCCTTCATTTCTCTTTCAATGTCCCATTTAAAAATCCCTTACCTTGAACTACTCGGATCCACAAGATGGTGGGGAGGGGGTGGTGGTGGAGACAAGGAAGTGTCATGCAAGTAAAGGGAGGGCTTTTTTGTTCACCAGGCTTGGGATCTGCAGGGACTAATCCCTGACTGGGACAGGGCTAAAGGAATCAGGGGCCATGCGGCTAAGACAATGCAAATAAATGTTCAGTGGCAAAAAGTCTCCAACGCAAATAAGTGGCCTGATGGGGAGCGGGGATGGTCAGGAACCTGGATATCCAAACAGTCTGGAGATTTCTCCTTTGCAAACACCAAGGCAAACAAACAGACAGAGCAGGTTGGGACCACTGCAGACCATCTGCAAGCTTACACAACAGAACAGTCCAGATAAACTCAAAATATAGCCAGGCAGAGGCTAACTAAAAAGTTATACTAGGGGTGCCTGGGTGGCTCAGTCTGTTAAATGTCTGCCTCCGGCTCAGGTCATGATCCCAGGGTCCTGGGATTGAGCCCCACATCAGGCTCCCTGCTCAGCTGGGAGTCTGCTTCTCCCTCTGCCCCTCTTGCTGCTCATGTGCGCTCTCTCTCTCTCAAATAAATAACATCTTTTAAAAAAAGTTATAGTATTTAGGGTCTTATGAGGCCATGACTTTGTTACGATCACCCAAGAATTACTTTCATGATATCTGAAGCATCAGATATCATGAAAGTCTCTGCCTCTGTCTTATTCTGTAAGTAAGACTGGTTTTCAGGACCCTTGAAATCATTCAACTCCCCCAATTTGACTATTTAATCATGATATGATCAGTCAGGTCCTATGCAACAAACAATAATTCCCAGAAGAATTATATCATTTATAACCTAATGATAACTAAACATGTACTGATTACCAGCAGTTAGCTCTACCTAAAGTCTATTGACTGACTAGTAGACAAATCTTTGGCATCAGACAGATCCGGGTTGTGATATCTCATCTCCCACTTAGTAGCTTTGTTTTCATCTGTCAGATGGGGATTATGACGGTCCCTGCCTCACAGGATTGATAGGAAGGTTCAATGAGATGGTGCCTGTAAAGAATTTACTATACTTCCAGGCATACAGTATATTGGCTACATCCATTGTCATCACCACTGGGCTCCTGTTTATTCCCTTTAAAATTAAGCATAATCAAGGCTTTCTGACCATTGATCACTGACACTAGCAAGAGTCTGGTCCTTAACTTTCTTACACATTCAACATGCTAGGACCTGGGAGAACACAATGAACAAGATAGAGTCTCTGCTCTCTGAGAGGCTGCTCCTGCTCTCCACGAAGTTCTTCACCCTATGCAAAATGGTCAAGTCTAATTTTTACTACTTAGCAACTCAGGCTGCCTATGAATGATGGTCCCCGCCCAAAACATGAAAGAGGCTATAACAAGGGAGGTGGTGGGATGGGGGACAGGAATGGAAGTACTAGTAGAAGAATTTCACCCGGCTCACTCATGTGGGTGGTTCAGATCCCTGGTCTCCAGGGAGTGAGAATGGTGGGTCTAACCATGTCAGTGCCAGCACCCAGTATGAAGGTCAATGGTGTCCCACCATGTTGCCAAGGTCTTCCACACAAGATAGGAGTGGTCACACTGTGTTTCTGCACATGCTCCTCCTAGTGCCCACCCTTCTTCATGCTTCTGGGTCTCACACCGAACACACACACGAGACTATGAAGGTGACCAAGACCAGTGCCCAGGGCCGAGCCACTCACCAGAGGAAAGTCATCCGGGTCGATCCACACAATGCTCAGGTCAGGGTTGTCGGTATTATCCCTAGCAACCTGTTTCAGGATTTCCAGGAACTCGTAGCCATCTGAAGCAGGATTCAAGAAGTCTGAGTAACCCCTGTACATACATGGCTTCCGGCATGTGGAGCCAAGAGTGTGGTCTTTCCACGAGTTTCTTAGGCCATTTGGTGCATACCCTCAATTATAGGATTATTCAGGGCGCCTGGGTGGCTCAGTGGGTTAAGCCTCTGCCTTCGGCTCAGGTCATGATCCCAGGGTCCTGGGATCGAGCCCCACGTTGGGTTCTCTGCTCAGCAGAGAGCCTGCTTCCTCCTCTCTCCCTGCCTGTCTCTCTGCCTACTTGTGATCTCTGTCTGTCAAATAAATAAATAAAATCTTAAAAAAAAAAATTATAGGATTATTCTACAAAGTGAGTCAGAGAAGAACTCCAGCCACGAAGCAGCTTACTCAAAGGAAACAATAAAAATTTTAAATAAAAAATATTAAAAGTTCACAGGGAAGTGGATGATTCTTAAAGCCAGGTTCCATTTGCTGATCAGATCAGAGGAACCCCTGCCTGGTCCTCAGCGCTCTGTGCCTTCTTTTGAAACCAACAATTTGCTATCACTCAGAGTTCTACAGACCAAGAACATGTAGCCTGGACCCTTAGTCTTCTGCAACCTGGAATCTGTAAAACCTTCAAACGAAGCTTCTGATTTACAGCTGGTTTCATAGCTTTGAGATAGTAAATGGGGTTTCCCTCCCTCTCTTACCATTTCCTGGTATGCTCTGCCCTCCCTCTCTTCAAGCAACAGCATTTATGGCCCCCAGGGGAGGGATGATTCATAAGAAAAGCAGAGACAAGCCCTGTGAGCCTCAAGAACACAATTTTTTTTTAATTTAAAAAAAAAAAACAACTAAAGCCTATACCTTTAAGGACTGGTAGCATAAAATTTATACCATAAACAAAAAGTTTTGGAAGAACATTTAGTAAGAGAAAGCACACCCTAAACCCTCAGCATCCCCACCCCACTCCCAGCTAGAAACAAAGATTCTGGAAAGTCCCTGAGAAGAAGCTCTGCGCCTGCGTGTATGTGGGCGTGCATGCGCACAGATGCAAGCCAGGGTGCGCATGTGCATGTGTGTTCACACGAAGAAACTCCAGCTCCAGGCGATCTCAGCGCATAGGGCACTCATGCTGTGTTTCGGAATGAAACTCTGGGAAATGGAAAGGCCTCCAAATCTTTTGCAGAACCCCTTGGTGCAGCAGCACGAGGGCAGAAAAGCCTGCCAGGAGGCCCCACCAGTTCTCTGTGGCTCTGAACATGCACGAAGCCATGGCTGGGATGGACAGGACAGTGGTGGGAACAAGGGCTAGAGGCCACACAGAACCATAGCCAACTCCAACAAGATGTATCCCCCACCGGTCTACGCCTGGGAAGCAGCGAGACACCAGACCTCTCGAGATGGTGAGGTGAAGTTGGGGGGCCATCCATGACCAGACCCAGTTCCCATTGGGTACAATACAGGTTTGATTCTAGACAGCAAAGTTATATTTATGGCCTGGTTGAACGTGTGACCTGAAATGTACACCTTCTCTACCAGCAACTTTCCCCACCTATCTCAGAATTCCCTCTGGTGCTGCTTTTTCTTTGTAAATGTTTCTTCTTTTGCCTGAGGTCCCAGCCACTTTGAGCCCTTCTGTTTAACAAGTCTCTTCTCTTTCCAGGAGCTTTAGCCTTTGTTTGGCTACTTGGGGCCTCTGGGTAAAGGGTTTTCTCTGCACTTCCTCATCTCCTATACATTCCAAGCAAAAAGCATTGCCATTCTTGGCACTTCTGCTTTGAGTGGGTGAAATCACTTTCAATGTTGCTAACTCCCCACTACTAACTGTAAGATCTAGACTGGGCCCCCTCGACCTTTCTACCTGGAAAGCAGAGGTACTGGTGGGAGAGAAGAGGCCACAGCCCCTTCCTGCAGAGCTGTGCTCTGTCTGCCTGATTTTTCCATCTATTGCAGAATTGCAGGTTTCCCCCGATATCCAAAAGTAGAACATTCCTAAGAACCTAAATGTTGTAAAGTGAAGAAGCAATAACATGTCATAAAATCAAAAATCCTCTTGGGATTTCTTTTCATCAGCAAAAACAGATACTAATGTGGGTATTTTGTAAAAGCAAAGCAACATATGAGAATGTTGGGAGAGCGAGGGAAGACTGTGTATCACTAGTCTCCAGGTATGGCAGACACCTGAGGTGAATAGGGCCACAGGCTTTAGAGTTCATTATCATTGTGGGAATTGGGTGGAGATGGGGTTGGGGGATATTACTCCTGCCTCCTGTAGGAGTGGCTGAGAAGGTCAAACCCCTCCAGAGTTCCACTGGCCCCTGCTATTTGAACCTTATAGCTCCTCCTTCCCTGGGCATAGAACTGTGTCAAAACAGGGAATCTGTGGATCATGTATCATAATACACAGACCACAATGGGAAATTCTCCAAACACTTTCCATGGCTACTTTCAAGAACCAGAAGGAAGTATTCTAGAAGGTGAGAACCAAATGCAAAAGTGAACTTGATAAATCAGAAATTCACAAAGAGGCTAAAATTCAAAGACACAGACCCTGATTCACATAGAAAGTACATCTGAGGATCAAAAGACAGACTTGAATAAAGGGAGGGGAGAAGCCATCTAGGCACCATATTGTAGAGGGACAAAGGCGTCATGAGTACCACAGCTGAACACGCAAGAAAGCATGGTAGGTTTCTGATAGAAAACCCCACAGAATGTTGGAACTAATGAGAAGGAATGATGCATATAGATCTTTTCTAGTCTACATGCTAGAGCAGGTTTGGAGATAAAAATGAAAAGATAGAAGGAATAAAAAATGGGTTCTGCTAGAAAACTTAAATGGGTGGCAGTTTTTTTATGTAAACAAGAAAAGTCAAATTTTTCGCTTAGTGCTTAATTTTAGGAATACGAAAGGTTTTTAAGTCCACAGAGGAGTAAGGAAAATTCAAAAAACATTCACAAAATACATCAATAAATGAGGCTGACATTAAAGCAGGAGAAACCTCATCTAGATCCAAGCACAGCTTTTCGACTTTTGAGATGATGAATTCCATAATGGACATAATCCTTCTGCATTCCTGGATATTTTCAAAGAACAGAACGGAAGGGAGGCAGCCCAGAATGATGCTTAAACACACAGACATTGGGGCAAACAACCTTGGTCCAAATCCTGGTCCTGCCATTTTGAGTGTGACTTTGGGCAAGTTATTTAAGTCTTGGTCCCTCATCCACAAAATTGGGATGATGATAATAAAAGTACCTATTTCATAAGGTGGTTGTAGGTTACATGAGTTAGTACCCTCTAAATCACTGAGACAGTGCCTAGCACAGAGTAAGTTTAAGCCATTATTCCTAAATGATCTGGATTTTTCTGCCTGAACACAAGGAACCTGGCCATTCATCTCTCCATTCAGGGCATAGGTAACAAGTACAATGATCTGGGCATAAGCAGTGTGTTTGATACAGTCTCGGCACCACACAGTAGAGAAAGACAGGCTTGTAGGAAGTCACGCCAGGAGATAGTATGTCATGGGGTGGTTCCTTCTGGCCCCTGCTCATGATTCTATGACTGAAGGCCTCAGGGGTGGCTGTGCCAGCAGTTGTGAATATGAGAACCTTGCCCCAATATGTGGATTAGAGCAAAGTTTAATTCCTTTATTTTAAAGTCATTAAGCTAATTTGGATATTCCTGATTCAAGGTTCACAAGCCTGATACATTCTCTCCCCTTTTATTCACAGCCTTGGATGTGGACCTGCTGGAATAGATTCTCTTGCATCTGGGAAAGCTGAGTTAAGGCAGCTGAACTGGTCTCCCAGGTATTTAATTGTTAAAATTGCAAGTTACAAGTTCAATTTCCTCTTAGGGAGAGCTTCTGTTTCTTTGTAAAGCAGGTGTCCAGGCAGGTGTCTTGGAGAAGGGAAATAGCCACCGTGGACTCTCCCTTTTTGACCAGGAAGGCAGGTGCAGGAAGCCATATTTCACTTTTGTAATTCAGTGTAAAGACCAAGACGAGTCCACAATTGCGATTTCATGAATGAATGGATGGATTTGAATGGATAAATGTTTCCTTCATCAGTGATACCCTAAACTTAGAGCCCTTTTGAAACTGTGGCCATGTATCTTTCAGGAGGAAGAGTCCATAATATTTTTAAAAAGCTAGATTTTTTTTTAAAAGGAGGAAATATTATTCCATGATTTGGGGCTAGCGATTATTCCATCACCAAAACTAGAGGACTAGTCAATGTTTTTAATCTTCACATCTTGTCCTGATGGCAACAGGAAGATTTTCTTATTTGCATTTTAAAGATGATGGAGTTGAGACACAGATAGAGTATGTGGCTTGCCAAGCATCACATGGGAGCAAGTGGAAGATCCAGGATTCTAACTCAGTTCTTTGGTCTGCACGTCTAGAACCATTTCCACAATCACTTTCCCTCCCAGTTCTTGGCATTCCTGCCAAAGCTATTGCCATCTTCCTTCCTCAAGATTGTGCTTGAGATTTGTGAGCTGAGTGGGAAAGCTTCCGTAGGAGGGAAGCAAGAAGGCAGCACGGGGGCAGAACTCTCTGGAGGACGGAGCCCCTCCCCCTCCACCCCCATGCTGCTGAGCACCCTCCTCCTCCTGTCCACACTGTTACTGTGTTGGGTGGGTGGGTTAAAGTCAACGAGGTCCCTAAGTGACTGGAGTCTCAGAGATCCACCTAAATAAAGAAGAGGGACATGGTATTGTGAGAACCGTGACTCCCTCCCATGCCACACTGACTTGGAACCTAAAATCCCATGACCCAGGGCTAAGGGCTCGTGTGGAGCCAGGTTTCCCACGGCGAGCAAGAGGCCTCTGGGAATCCCATCTCTGTGGGAGGGGAAACCGGTGATTATGCTCTCCTCCTTCCCAGGCAGGGAGGATCTAGTGGAAATGAGGCTGCACCAAGCCTTGGGGGACCAGTTCCAGGCCAAGCCTTGGGGGACCAGTTCCAGGCCACTCAAAACCCTGTCAGACCAGGGCTGGGTCGGCAGAGAAGTGGGTATCTCAGAGCACAGCCTAAGAGCTGGGAGCCTGGGTTTGAATCCCAGTTCCACCACTTATTAGCTGTGTGACCTGGTGACATTATTTAACTTCCTATACCCCTGCTTCCTCATCTGTACATCGGGGAAGACCGTAAGGATGGTACCTAAGACACAGGGTTGTTGGGAAGATTACATGCATGGTTAGCACTGAGCAAGAACCAAAAGTCAAATTTGATAAACCAGATTTACATTGGGAAGCTCAAATAAGCAGTCAGCACTCTTACTTGAGACAACTGATCTCAGAAACATTTTCCAAGAACCCCAGGTGGTTGCAATCCTGTCGGAACAGGGCTTCAAGATGTTCATTGCAGGGCCAATCCACGTGCGCACACAGCAGCCTGTCCTTGCATTTCCGGCTTGTTAGTGCTAATGTTCCCTGGGCCCTTCGAGGATATCCATCCAGCATGCGCTCATGTAGAAACGCCGCTCCTCAAACCTTTCAGCAGGTGTTATAAAGATGTCAGCCTGCTGCAGACACATCTGGGGGCAGCAGAGGAGAGGTGCTCGTTTTCAAACCTGTCAAATAGCAGCTCCAGGGGCATCCGGAGCGCAGGAGCTGGACAGGCCCTGGAGGAGGAAGACCGAGCAGCATGCAGGGCCTGGGCCAAGAGCAGAGCGCCCAGGCTCATCCTTCCAGGGCCCAGAGAGCGGACACTGCAGCCTTGGGAGCAAGATCACAACTGGCAGTGTTGGAACTGCTCAGAGAAGCGCCCCCGGGGGACTCAGGTCACTCGGATAGTCGGTTGAATTTCAAATCTGGGAACATCAGTGGACAGCAGGGAGGACAGCTGACTTCTCTTCCTTAATTGGCTCTCAAGCTTCCAGGTGGCTGCGTTCTCCTGCTCTCCCTGCCCCCCTCCCCCAATAGTGCAGCAGCATCACTGGGCGTGCTCAGAGCCAGCCTTGGGCCGAGCAGTCCCGCAGGTAGTGGGCTCAGCTGCACTGGGTGCTGAAGAGCCGGAGAGAAATCTAAGTTCGTGTGTCCGCTGTGCCCCTAGCCGCGTGATCTCAAGCAAGTCACCGAACTTCTCTGGGTCTTGTTCATGGTGAGGTGGTGGGGTGACGAAGGGTAGGAGAGAGGAAGGAGGGCGGGCTGAAGGATCACTGGAGGAGGTCGCCAGGGGTAGTAACTGCGAGGGGCCCTCAAGTCTACAGCAAGGCCTCCTGCCACTGTGAAGGAAGTCATACAGCCCTCAGCTTCATTCTTGGCCTCAGCCTCCTCACTTGTAAAATGGGAATAGAACGAGCAGCACCCACGTGGGGTTCTGGCCCATAAGCTTACAAGAAGTGATCAAGAAGTGATCATCACCAGCCTCATCATCATCAGGCCACGGTCAGAGGTCAATAAAGCCTGCCGGGATTTGAATCACAGCAAGTGATCTGGGCCCTTTAACCTCTCAGACCACTTTTCTCCTCTGAGCTGGGAATGGCAATATCATGCATTTATCACAGTCTGGCTTTAGGGACCCAACGAGATCATCTCCGTACAGCACAGTTCCTCGAGACTGTTAGCTCTTTCAGGAGAGCTGCATGGACTTCCCGGGCAGATGACCGTCTGTCTTTAGCCAGTGGGCAGGGGTCCCGTTGGGGCAGTCGGCCAGGTCCAGCGAGAGCAAAAGTATAGAAGGAACCGCTGTCTGGGCAGCAGTGAAATTCCTGGTCCTACAGCCACGCCCCCTCTGCCCCCGGGTCACACATCAGTGACCTTCGGGTAATGACTGACTAGCTGCAGCGTCGGGACTTTCACAGAAAAGCCTTTCCTAGCCCTGAGTGGGCCAGGCCCTCCCTGGATGAAAAGATACACTTCGATCCCCCACACATTGACCCCCCCTTCAGTGCCTTTCTTCCAGCTTCCCAGGAACAAGCCCCAGCTTGGGCTCCTCTGGGGAAAGACGCAGCTTCAGGCCCAAGGATATTTGTGCAAGGAGGAGGTGGAAGTAGTTTCAGGAGCTTGATTCATTGCAGCAGCAATCTCGGTCAAACAGGTTCCAGCAACTTCTTGCAGGCTTCTTTGTTCCATTGTTCCAGAGGGCCAGACAGGCTTCCCCACAATCCTGGAAGAGGGCAGGTGGGGCAGAGGGAGGAAGCCCGCCGGGGTCTGGCCAGCAGGCTGCTGCTGATGGCAGTTTCATCTCTGTTCACACAACACCAGGGATCCGACTCTGTTTGATTATAGCTTATAAACCCTGGGCAATTGGCTTCCTTCGGTATTTTCCCCTACAGGGGCAGAGGGGTGGCCAGAAAATGCTGGAACCATACCGGCATTTTTTTTTTTTTTTTTTCAGACAAAGACTAGATATCCTTCAAGAGTTTTGCCAACTCTGCAAGTCAGTGATGGGAAAAATGAGACCACAGTGAGCATTCAGAAACTAGTAAAAACAAAGGGAGGAGGAAACCCTCAAATAATTTGGAGCATCAATTTGGTTTTGATACAATGGAACATTGTTTGGCCCTAAAAAGAAGTGAATTACTGATATGTGCTACATATTGGATGAATCTTGAACACATTATGGTAAGTGAAAGGGGCCAGGCATAAAAGGCCACAGATTACATAATTCCAATCACATGGAATGTCCACGATAATCAAATCCATAGAGATAGAAAGTAGATTTGTGGTTGCCAGGGACTGGGGGAAGGAGGAAGAAATGGGAGGGACTGCCAACGGGTATGGGGTTTCCTTTTGAGGTGATGAAAATGTTCCAGATTAGTGTACAACTGTGTGAATACACTAAAATTACCACCGAATCGCACACTTTAAAAAGGTGAATACTGTCATGTGTGGATTATCTCTCAAGATTAAAAACTGTATGATAATAGCATTTAGGTTTCCATCTGTAAGAACTATGGAAGCTAAGAGTGTATTAACATCAACGACAAAAACAGGAGTGGGGTTGAAGTGTTGGGGCTCAGTCTTGGTCAGTCATCCACTTATCCTATCACTTCCTGACAGCTGCTTATTGAGTACCTACTATGTGTCAAGGTGCTGTACAAGGACCAGGTACATACTGAGGACCAAGACAACCTGTGGCTCCTTCATGGCCCACTATGAACTCCTTGTGCCCTCTTGGGCAGATTGCTCAACTCCTTGAAGCTTCCTCGTCTGTCCCTGTGAGTGTACAAGAGGTCTCAGGCAAATACCACAGTTCTGCGGTACCTGGGGCCATGGTTCCTAAACCGGATGGTGCCTTAACACTTGCCTCTGAGCTCTGTGCAATTACAGGTTTCGGAAGGTCCTGTTATAATCAGCCCCAGGTGGCTTTGGTTCTCATGCTGTCACGTTTGGGGACCCCTGCCCAGGCACCTCATGGCCCAAGGCTGGCTGCTGAGCCATCCTAAATGAAGTTCCTTGCCTTCTATGTGTGCTGTCTAGATCGTGCCTAGTCTCCCCATATGCGCTGCAGAATGCCCACTTATATGCTTTGGGGACCCTTTATGTCACAGCATTGCCAAAGGGACTAAGCATTCTACAACCAGCAATATTGATTTTTCCTGCACTTCCCTCTCCACCGATGCTAAAAAGAATGTGACCAGGAAAAAGTCATCCAGGTTCCAAAATAAAACAAAGCTGCTCATCCGTTTATAGGGTCATTTTGCACTTTAGAAATTAACTGCCAGTTTTGTCCAAGCCTCACTCTTTGAGGGAGTGTTTTCTATTAAGTTTCCCAAGCACAGACCATATTTTACGAAGCAAAGCATACTTTGGTTGTAGTTGAAATGTAGGATTGTTATTTATATAGACTAGAGCATAATACTGTTAAATAAACTTTTAATGTGGACAGACATTTCTCTCTCCCTCTCTCTCACATGCACACGTGTGTGCACGCGCATACACCCTGTAAAGCTAGGATGTTTTTATATCCCTCCAGTACTCAGTGCTTCTTCCTAGTTTGGACAGCCAAGCAGAAAAGAATGAGGCTCTGATCCATCCACATCTCTTAGCTGTGTGCACAACTGACAACAGACTCATACCTAACTGGCGACCACCAGGGGGTGCCCAATATCTTGCAGTGGACTTGCAGACAAGCACTGAGGCAAGAGCAAGGAAGGAGGGCTGGCAAAGGGGAGAAGTCAGATCTTGCTTAAGGTGTCAAGGGACAGATGGCGGTTTCTTACCTGGGTCACTCCTCTCTGCAAAGGCCACAATGTGGATCCCATTCAAATCATCTTCCTGGAGGAGAGAAGAATCAGAGGTTACACTCCCAGGTGGAGAGATAGAAAGGAACAAGTCAGGGACAGAGACAAAGGGTGGCATGGAAATGGGAAGGGGGGAGGTGTTGGGGTAGTGGACACGGGGCAGGGGAACTGAGGGGTGCACAGTAAGGAAGGAAATATTGATGAGCAACTGGGCAGAATGCGTGCTGTTTGATCCATGGGTTTACAAGACAGGAGAACACCCACTACACACAAGACATCAGCACTGAATGGGCCTCACTCCTGTGGGCTGTGGGGTCCAGGACAGCAGCAGTAAAAGGCAAAAGGAGGAAAAACATGATTCTGGTTATTAGGAGCTCCAAGGGCAACAATCACTCTGAATACAGCTCAGTAAATTGTCAGTCTGTGTTTTGAGAATTCACCACCCGCAACCAGCAATTATGGGAACGTCTGAATGCCCTCGACAAATCCTGAAACTGTCCCCAGACTGGCAGCAGACAGGAATCTTCTAGGTCAATTAAGACGTGGGTCTGTTCTGTTCACGCAAGAATCATATACAAATGTAGGGCTCCTCTGTGAACACTCCTCCTACTGAAAAACCTGTGTAGTCAGTAAGGGGTGCCTTGCTGACTGTGGCATCCAGGTTCCCACCTTGGGGTCCTTTCTGCTCAGGTCCAAATTTTGCTGAGGGCCTCTAACGCATTTCTGTGAGTGTGGGAGGCTATGGGAAAAGTGGATTTGGGAACTAGGGAAAGTTGAGGGTGTGACATGACACGTGGGTGTGGCTACGGGGGCTGAGGCCAAGGCCAAGAATTCAGTGAGTATGTCACATCCCTGAGCAAGCAAACAGCATTGCATAGTTCTATGTTCTGGACAGAAAGGACCGTACACCTGTGTCTCCTTTGCATCAATTCTTTGTGCCTCTTTTGGAGGAGGCTTTGTTGTGAGCAGTGTGATTACCAAAAAAACATGGAGAAGAAGATGTTTAAGAAGGAGGCACGTGGGACAAATCTGAGTGAATACAGATTATCGCTGACACAGGGAAAGGGAGTCACAGGGTATCCAGGATATCATATCAGAATCATCCTATGGAAAAAACTCCAGGCATCTCAACCCTCCCATGATCCCCGTTTCCATTTCAATTGATTTTAATGCTGGTGCAATCCTATCTAAATGCTAATTTTTCCCCTTTGAGTTTGGAATGGATAAAAGCTCCAAAAATTCTGAGAGATTAAATGGAAAATATTATTATTAAAAACAAGAGAGTGGGCATGGGCTTGGTCAGATGCTCTGGGGAATTGAATTTTACAGATATATGTGTGTGCGTGTGCATGTGTGTGCAGGTTTATTACACAAATCCGACACCAACCAGAAGGGGAGTCCAAGGTTTCACTGTTTTACATTTGCTATTATCGCCAGACAGAATATCCTGATCAGTTCTCATTAGGCTGTCCTGTGTCTCTGTCTCCTGCCATCAGCAGGAAGTGAGCAGTGTTAACTCTGTAAAGCAGGCTTCATTTCTGTGTGCCCTTCTAGAACACATTTGAAATTGCTTTTGGAATTAAGAATCCATATTCATTTGTTAAGAGGCTGCTCACAATGTGGCTGTCACTCCCCAGGCCCAAGATGGTGCCTGGATGGAGGGCTCTCATCCAGGCAAAGAACCTGTCTCTTTGTAGGGATCAAAGAGTCAGTTCACAAACCTGTAGAGAACACTGGCAAAGAGGCAGGTGCCTGCTTGGGGCCGGGTATTTTCAGTAATACACTCACAGAGCAAGAATCCATGGGGGAAGCATATAAATCAGGGTTCCTCAGTGAGAATCCAATGTGCACGGAGGAGGAAGAGCCAAGCTGACCATGCATAGGACTGAGACCCCCTTGGGGGGCTTTCTCTGAACCCCACAGCCTTTGCTCCAGATCACCCATTTAGCCTTTGGATCACATTGCCTTGGAAACTCTCTTTTTAATAGCACAAATCTTACCTTCTCAACCAGATGGCAAGCTCTCTGAGGGAAAGGATTATGCCTTAAAATAACAAGGATAATTACAATGGCCACAATAGTATCTGCCCCCTGCCGTTCTTTGTATCAGTTCTTTACAAGTACGTCATTTCTAAAACACAAATGAAAGTCTTATTCCTATTTAGTGCTTAAAGAATTGAAGTGACTTACCTAACGCCACAGAACTGGTACGTGACATAACTGGGATTCAAGCCCGTTCTGTCTGGCCCCACGTGCTTTTTCTTTCTCACTGAAGGGGTCCAGAATAAGCCACTGTGGCATAAAAATTATTTTGGGCTGAAAGCATATGAATTCCTGAATGCCTTATCTACCTAAAAACAGAGAATCCCAAAAGAACTCAGTTGTCATAAACCCATACTCAAGAACCGTTCTAATTTCTCTTCTTAGACAGATATTATCACAGAACTAGCAAATCTCCCATCTATTCCCCAAAGGCCTGTTTCTTTTACCAAGACATGGTTTGTTTTTCCATAAGTTCCCTTTCTCCCCAACCTTCTAACAAGTCATTTTTTCTCCCAGAAGTGCCTCTTGCCTCTTCCATTTCCAATTAAGATGGTATATAAGCCCCTTGTTGAGTCACATTTCCTTGTAAACTCCCTTGCATAAATGGGTCATTAAATCTGTCTTTTGCCCATGCTCATCTGTGTTTTGTCAGTTTAATTTGCAGCCCTTTAATACAGAACCTAAGAGGGTAGAAGGAACAATTTTCCTCCTTGACATCATTAATAGCAACAGAATGAGTCTGTTGTCCCTGCAGGGTTTGCAGATGTTTGAAACTCAGATTAGTGACTCTTTAGTTAAAGGAGCCTGGTAAGGGGGTTTTATGTAAAATGACTGAGCCCCATATCCCCCAAAGAACTAGAGACTTAGGAATACTTTGGTGAATACCCTACTCTGAATTCTCTTTCACTTTGTACATTTATCTATCATAGTATGAGCATACTGGAGTGGTATTAATATGTTTTAAGATTGTTTCATTTGTTCAACCCTGAACTTCTAAGGACACAATAGCAATGTTCATTTTTATAAACCCTGTGCTTAGCACAAAGTAATAGGTTCTTATGAATTTCCACTGACTTAAAGAAAAAAGGATATGTTGATAAAAAGCTTACACACTAGTTGAAGAAAATGGAAAGTATTAGAGATACCAAAAAGAAACCACACATCAGTCACCCACCAACCAGGTATATTACCACTGTTACTGTTTTGCTCTGCTCCCTTCCAGGTTCTGTTGAATGTTTGTTCTCTTGAATGAAGCAATGCAAAGAAAAAAACATGCACTTAAAACTACAGACTCCCTGGTGCAATGGAATGTTCTAGGGGCTTATCTGGAGGTTTTTGGCCCCCTTTTGGAAGTACTACTTTGTTATTGCCACAAAGAGAGAAGGTTCTTTCTGAAGGAACTGCTGACTCCCATCCCCATGCACTTTTGCCCAGAACTCCGACCACTTGCCAGGATGGAGAGCTGGTTGGAAGGTAAGAGTATTGAAAGGGAAGGACAAGTCGGCACTCAGTCTGGACCACCTTGCCCCACCTTGACGTTCTTTGAATCTAAATAAGCAAATAGCTGTTTAATTTACACAAAGCAAGTATCACTAGCCACCAGTTTCTTTAGTAATAATCAAGCATGTGTTTTTTATGGTTTGCTCTTTAAAAACCCACACAATGAGAGAAAGAAAAAGGTCAATAGTTGCTTTAGCTTGACTTAGTTTTCCTATCTTATTTAAATATTTTGCAACTTCTGGGGAAGTGGGTGTTGAAGATAAAGACTTCCAAGGTCATAACTGGTCACTTTCCCCAGCTTCTGTGGTTTCATTTGCTGCAGCCCAGTGGTCCATGAAGATGCTGCTCTTTGGAGCAATGCTTCCCTAGGTGGCAAAGGTAGTTGGGGAAGGCACTTGGGAAGTGGCTTCCCAGAGATCCCTTTGACAGATTGATTTCTGCTTCTCCTTTTTAAGGATGGAAAGATGATCCTGCCTTCCCTCCGTAGTTGGAGACTTGGGACCGGTGAGGTCTGGTTACAGCTCCTGGGATGTCACGTGGATAGTCCATGATGGTGTGCAGGTAAGAAGAAACCCAGTCTAGTTGCCCTTTTCTCTACCAGGTTAAATTTAATACAAAGCCCTTTCCTGATTAGAAAACAATTGAATATATAGTAATGGTGGAGAATATGAGCCATCAGTTCTATTATAGCGAAAGGCAGTAACTTCTCTTTTCCCTTAAGTGAAAAGAGAGCAGAGAATGAGTTGCGGTGAATCCAGAGAGTGAAATTTCTGAACATCTGCCTGTGATATATGAGAGGGAACATTTCTACTGGGCAGTGTGGGGGGAGCAAGGGGTATTTGTGGTCAGGGGGAGGGGACAGGACACAGCTCTCCCACCACGGCATATGGTGTCAGGGATGTGATATAGCTGTGTCATTAAGAGAAGGTCTGAAGGAAGGGCTTCTCTTAGGGATGAAGAAAATTAAAAGAACTAAGAATAGAGACATAGCAGAAGAGAGCAGTGACAATCGCTCTCAATTTAAAATGGTCATGAAAGACAGAGAAAGACCAGGTAGCAGATTCTGGTAACCAAGAACTCATACCAGGTTAAAGACTAAAGAATAGAACAACAAACCTCAGATGTGAGATCCAAGATCAGATCCTGGGCCAGGAAAAAAGAATTTTGTGTGTGTGTGCTATAAAGGACATTAGTGGGACACTGGTCAGTTTGAATAAGGTCCATAGGTGAAATAGAATTATACTAATTTCCTGATTTTGATAAGTACACTGTGGTTTTGAGAGACATTCCCTGTTTTTAGAAAACATCTGAAGTATATAGGGGTAAGAAGATTTGTGTCTGCTAGCTACTCTCAATTCAGAGCAAAAAAATGTTTATATCCATTATCTGTCAAGAAGTATGTGATCAAGCAAAGAAAGTAAAATGTTAACATTTGGGGAATCTGGTAAAGAGATCATGGAATTCTTTACATTATTTTTCGTAAGTGTGAAACGATTTTAAGTAAAAGGTAAAGCTATTTTTTAAAGGAATATTATTTTTAAAACACTGCTACACTCTTTTTAAATCTAGTAACAAGACCTTTTAAAGATTACATTTTTGAAAGGTTTAAATATTAAGAAAATAGGTTTCCATTACTGCTGGGTTATTCTTCGAAAGTCCGATTCTCCAGACTGGATGACTCGCTCTTCAGTGTCTTACGAAATGTTTGTTCTGCCTTCAGAAATACAAATAAGTTACCAGCCAGTAAGATATCAAGTGATAAGTTACTTCATGGTTCTGTTCTTCTGTCATTTTAGACTCTGAATCAAAGACTAAATAAATAAATGTTTTCATGTTAATTCCTTTCTTCTCCCCCACCCCCTTGACAAAATGGCACCTCATGGGGATATGCTTACTCTGGGGAACTATACTGAAGAGAACATGAGATTTGGCTCCAAATGATCTAAACTAAAGTCCCAAGATCTAATGCTTATTAGTTATGTATCCTTGATTAATCAACTTAATCTGTACGATCATCAGTTTCCCCATGTAAAATGAGGTTAAGTAATATTTGTTCTACTTCACTTTTTAGAACTCTTGAAACATCCAGGTTAAAAGAATACTTTGGAATGCTTTGAAGAATGCTCCACAGGTGTTGGTTGTTATTGGTTATGGAATTTTATATAAAGCTGATGTGGGATGGGATGGGATGGGATGTCGTACCTCCATGGCCCTCTTTCTATACTATTTTGACTTGCCTGACACATTGTCTATGGCATAGACCTAGGGGATAATCTGACTCAGCACCTTCCAGTGCCTTGAGTTGATATTAATGAAAACAGCTACCATCAGTTGGCCAAACACCTCCCAGGTTCTAGGCGCTTTGCAACCACTCATCCTTACGAAAAGCCCTGATTTGAGAAGCAGAAACTAACTAAAGCTCAGAAAGATGACATGACTTGATACAGGATGCAGAGCTACCAGGTAGCAGATTCTGGATGTGAACCCAAGTCTCTATGACTCCACAGCCCGAGTGCCTTCCATGATGTCACCCTGGGTCTCTGGTAGTCAGTGACCAGAAGCCAGTAGTGACTGTGGGACATGAACTCAAAGATAGAGTAGTTTTGCCTTGTGGGTAGTACCCAAGAGGCTTAAATTAGATCCATGGAGAACTGGGCTTTAATTGAGTGTGATGTTATCCACGTTTCAAATTCTCCATCATCTAGACATCCACTCCAGCAAAATAAAATGTGGTTTAAGTTTGGGAACTCAAAGGGGTACTCCACTTGGGGTGATGTCTACAAGGCAGAAAGAGTTTCTCATTTCTTACCCATGTTTCAAACATGTCTTCTGGACGCAGGCGACGTAGGGTGGGTCTGAAAAAAACAAAGATGAGCTTCTTTGAGTGGGGATTACCAAGGCAGACACCACAGCCTCAGCGTAGTGAATATAAAATGAGATGCTGGTTCATTTGCAAGGACATGAAGAGCTCTAGAAATCTCCCCTAAGGAAATGGAGCTGTTCTACCCTGCTACATCACACAGGGAGCTAGCTGGGCCTGAAGCTCCCAGCTTTTTCACAGACCCATTTGATTCAAGGATTATATAAAGCCTATTAGAGGGACCCCTGGGTGACTCAGTGGATTAGGCATCTAACTATTATTGATCTCAGTTCAGGTCTTGATCTCACAGTCATAAAGTTCAAGCCCTGTGTTAGGCTCCACTCTAAGTGTGGAGCCAAATAAATAAGGAAATAAAGTCGATTACAAACAATGGGTCAGAGGGTACAGGGTTAGCTTATTCCTAGGGCAAGAAGCCATTTCCTTCCTCATAGATAGGGCCCACTGCTCAAAGCCCAGAGCAGGCCCAGAATGAGGACACCTGGGAGAAGAAGCAGAAGTAGTGGTTCTCCCAGGCCAGGACTGCATTGTCGTATCATCAGGATCATCATTCAAAAGCTCTTTAGGGATGTTTGGAGGAACAAGTAAAATTATATTTTGCTCATGGTTTTATGTCCTTCTGAATGTTGGCAAATTGTATTAGACACACAGAGATTTCCTTCTCCAAATGCTGCCTCCCTATGGGGACCAGGACAACCAGGTGATGGAGTCATAGTGCTCCAGGTTCAGTGGACATATCTGAGCGGGCATTGGAGAGGGAGGGTGGTGTGCCGAGGTGTTGAACCCACTACCACATTCCATGTTTCAATATTGTCCCTCCCTCAAGAGCAGGGGTCAGCCAACCATAGCTGGTGGGCCAAATCCAGCCAGTGCTTCCTGTGTTTATAAATAAGCTTTTATTGGGTTACAGCCACACCCATTTGTTTACATACTGTCTACAGCTGCTTTCACACTACACAGCTGCTTTCACACTACACCAACCAGAAACCATCTGGCCAACAGAACCTGAAATATTTATTCTCTGGCCCTTTATGGAAAAAGTTTGCTGATCCATGCTAGAGCTACTCTAAGTGGTATCAAATATGCCTCTCCCAGAAGTCTATGTATTAAACACTCATCCATGGCTAAGTTATTTAACTACTCTGAGCCCAATCCCTTGATCTGTAACATCAGGATAATAATAATACTCCATAATGTTGAATATTAGATAAAATAGCTTCCATAAGCACCTGGCATGGTATTTGGCATATAAGAGGCTGACAGTAAATCTCTATTGTTATTATTGTAGAATATGACTTGTAACTTACTCTGACTCGGAGGGGATTTGCTGATTGTGGGGAGTTGGTCTACCTTGTTTGCAAGTATAGACCCATACTCAGAAAAGGTAGCAATATCCTGCCCAACTGATCAATGACCAACAAAGCCATACTACTGATTTCAGTTCTTCTGGGCTAGTAACTCCAGGTTATTGCTCTTGGGAGGCCTAAAATTGTTAGGACTGAGAGGTTCTTCTCCATCCCCCAGGCCTTAGACCACTGCCTGTCCCCCACCCACCATCCCCTGCATGTCATCTGAGGCACCTTTGGTGCTCCTTCACAAACTCCACGATCTCCTCTTCTGTGTAAGGTTTGTCAGGGATGGCAATGGGCTCATCCATAAATGGCTCATAGAAGTCAACCTCATTCATCTTCAAGGACAATTTCTTTGCAACCTGTAACAATTAGAAACATAACAATAATTTCCTTGAATGCTAGTCTAGAGTAGCAGTGGGTTGCCCATCTATAAGAAGTGTGTGTGTTTTCTGGAAAAGATATGAGAGTATACCTACAGTTTTAACTTAAATGTTGAAGTGGTAGAAACTCATTGCCTAAGCCCTAGCTCAACCAATCAGAGAAGGATAAATCAAGGAAAAACCCTCTTTGGCAAATGAGATCCAACCAGGAGAAGGGAGCGGTAGGAATGAAAAATGGGAAATCTAACTGTACAATCATCATCACTCCACTGTATGTGCCAGGGCTGGAGAAAGAAGCAGATGTCAACAGAATAGTCTCAGTGTTCTGAGATGCATGGATTTAATTGAACCAATTTGGATAGCACAGGCAATTGACAGAAACCGTTTACAGCACACAAGTACTCAAAATCAGAGGTCAACCCATTAATCTGTCCTTGATCATCTCCTTACCCCTTCTTGTGATTTAGACAGAAGCAGGGTTATCTCTCAGTACTGGCTTGTCCAGTGGTTTCTCAGACTCTGGGAACTGTCTGCTTTGTTACCAGCCAGAAGGTCACCAACCATCCTGCTTTGTCCAGAACGGAGGGATTTCCCAGGGTTCAGACTCTTAAGCTAGAACTGGGATAGTCCCCCAGCAACCCAGGATGAGGGGCTCACCCTCTACCAGATAAAAAGCATGGGGAGCCAGCTTGCAGCCTGGAAGACGTCTGCTCTCTTGATTAAAGTGGCCACATAGTCTCACTGTTGGGGCAGAATGGGTGCTGTGTTTGCCTGCAGGGCTGCTGAGCTCAAGCCTCTTTTTGTGAAATGATTTGAGAGGCCTGGAATGTGCAATGCTTTGTAGAAAACCAAATGCCATTCTTTTCCTGTTTGAGCTGAGGTCCAAGAAAGCACAGGGATGAACAGTGGTTCCCTTGAAACGAAAGAAGAATTGCCTAAGAGCTGACGCCCTGTGGTGGTAACCAACGGTGCAGAGGTCCAGGGCAGCCGTGACTAATTGGGAAGGGGGAGGAACTGGGTATTACATAAACCGTTACACAAGTAAGGCCATTCTGAGCAAACACGGGTGTCCCTATGGCTTTTGTCATCAGTCGCTATTAATTCTGGGTCACCATATTCCAAAAGACATTTCTCATAGGACTTGAGGGAAAGAAACTCTAGCATCCTACCCAGAGCTAAAGAAAACAGGCCACGTTAAGAGCTCCAGTCCATCAAAAGAGATTTATCATCATGTTGATGTGGTTTTGAGGGACAGGGAAGTGTGGGGTCTTTTCTTACTTTTCCCCCTCTTTGACAGGGTGGGGGTGGTGTGGATGCTGGGGTGGGGAGCGTGGGAAGGAACCAGCGAACACATAACCAGGGGCTGGGTTTTCACATGTTCACATGTTTCACATGTTCTTCACAGAGCCTGGCCTATCAGAAAATGATACTGATTTTGGGTTGCTGACTTCACTGATGACATATTTTAGGAACCAGGAAACCGTGCTTAAAGGAAGTGGGGAGTGACCAGATGAAGGAAAACAGTAAAGGTAGTAGGCACCCGGAGGACTCACGCTGGGTCGGGCGCTAGTGCAATTGATTACTTTGTACATCTTCACCTGGCTTGCTAAGGTAAGAACCATTATTATTACTTACTTTACAGATAATGAACTGGAGGCCTAGTCTTTGTTTGCAGTTTGTCAAGATCTTGTATGTGGAGGGGAGACAGCCCAAAGCGAATCCCAGGCAGTGGTGTGTTCTAAACTATCACCTAGAATGGCAATCTCTTTTCATTCCCAACTTCTGAAGTGTATGTGTGTGTGTGTGTATGTGTGTGTGTGTGTGTGTGTGTGTGGTCCTTGAATGCCAGTGTCTGGGTATGCAATGTTAAGACCACAAACATGAAGCTGGATGGTGGTATTCTTAAGTTTAGGTCTTGGGAAACCTGAAAAAAATTTTCCAGAGAGCTAGTCACTATATCCCACACCATGGAGTGCCCTCAGCCTGTATCCCAAGGAAAGCCCTTTCTCTCATTTTTTTTCAGTTGCATCTTGGCCAATAAACATGCCATCCTTAGCCCTCTGACTCTGACTCCATGGGATTCAGATCAGAGATGTCATAGCTTGGTTTAGGATCAGGATGCAACTATTAGTGCTGGTCCCAAACCTATTAGTGCTGGTCCCAAACCTATAGGTCAGGTAGAATACCCCCAAGGAGTTCTCTGGAAATGCATGTTCCTGGGCCTGGTCACAACACAAAAAAATACAAGTTTAATCTTAGATGTGGGTCCAGGAATCCATGATTTTAAAAGCTCTTTGGGGGAGACCCCTACGGACAATGGTTCAGCAGTCCTGACATCCCACTGTCTTCATGGTTCTCTAACTCATATACTATACTGAATATAACATATTTATTGGTTTGTCTACTTACTTTCTGTCTACAATCTTCTCCTTGTCCCCTCCCCCACCACACTAAACTCTAAATCCCACAGGGGCAGGAATCTGTTTTACTCCTTGTGGTGTTGCTGGCCTCTAGAAGAGATTCCAGCCCATAAAGTGCACTCGATAAATATTCTCTGAGTGAGCAAATGAATGAATAAATGGAAGATACTTCTAGTTGTACGTCTTCCCCACTTGTAGTAAGAGAACTCATCAACCCCATCTTATGTTTTCAGCAGATTCTTTTCTTCGATTCCCTAATGTTTTCAGGAGCTTCAGGATCTTTGCTGTCTCGAAGAGGAGTCTTGCAGTCTTGTATTTTTGAATCTTCTCTGGTCTTTCTCTCCTTCACCTCAGTAATGACCAAGTCCTCTTGTCATCTCCATGTCTGCCAGTTGGCTTTTCATCTTTGGGACTGTATTAGTGCCTCCTTGGCGCTGGCCTCGCCTGACTTCACATCTCTAGGAACCACCTTCCCTCCCCCTAGTCCTTCTGGGCTTCCCTCAGTCTCAACGAAAAGTTCTTGCAGCTCCCTCTTCTGCACCAGCGCCCCCTGCTGGACACCATGAGGCTTCCTGGGGCTCTGGCTCCCTCCCTCACCCACAAATGGTGGATGAAATTTTCAAGTCCCAAATGGTACTGAGTCCTCTGCGTGTGACTACTCTTCTTTCCATGTTCCATGTAGAGGTAGAGAGTGTGTCTTTCTCCTTTTAAATGTTGTAAAATCCCACAAGGCTACATAAATGGGGGCACTTATGACTCAGTGTCTTACAGAGTTTGGAGTGAAGAGGCTTCTGAGTTTGTAATTATAGCCTGACCTCACCTTCTTCATGGGCCACGGACACAAAACCATATGGTTGGGCTGGGAGGCATGTCTGAAAACCGATACCAGCCTGAACTGAACAGTGGGCCACCCTTTGAAGAACTAAGGCTTTCTTTCTTGGCCTAGCCTGCCTGCCTGATTGTGTTCTCTCGGATGAGTTCTGGCCCCCGGGAGCCACCTCAGTCACTGCTGGCCTGTCGTAATGGAATGGCAGTGATGTATTCAGTTTAGGTCTCCCTTTACCTCCCCTTCTCTGCTAAAGTTCTCACCCAACCTTCATTCCCCTGGGCTTAGATGGCTGCCTTTTATGCACAACAGGACTAGCTAACATTTACTGAATGCTCCCCACATATCAGACTTCAGCCAAGAGCTTCACGTGTATTGTTTCTTTCTCTGCACAGCAGTATGAACACTGACCTGAGATTACACCTCAGTCTTCATTGCTCCCTTACTGTGTGACCATGGGCAAATCACTTAATCTCTCGGTGCCTTGGCTTCCTTCTATGTAGATTGAGAATACTAATATGTCCTCTATGGGCACTTTGAGATGACTGAAAGAGCTATGTAAACTCTCAGCACAGAGTCTAGCACGTAAAAGCTACTTAGTAAGTGGTAGTTATTATTGCTTTTGGTATTCTTGCTCTGGATCTCTCTTGACTCTAATCCAACCAATTAAGGTAAATTTTCTTCAGGTTTAGATTTTATTACTCAGATTATAGACTCGTCTGGATTATTTTCAATCTAGAGTTTTTAGAGCAGGGCCATATCCACAGAGGTAGTTTGATGTACACATATACAGGGATTGAATACAACCTTTTCTTGTCATACTCCTTCCCTGCTCCAGAACCTACAGGCTTCCTTCTGTTTTTCACAGAATACTTGGACTCCCATGGTATAAAGGCCCACGAGCCCTGCTCTTCAACTGCCTTACCCCTCAGTAGGTCACCCTCTGATGGACTTTGACTTGAATATAATCAGGATTTAGTTTGTCCTAGACTTATTTGTTCTAGTAGATATGGTGACTGAAGGTTTTTAGTTGTGATATGTGTGTGAGTGTGAGAGAGACTCTTATGTGTGTAGGTGTGGCTATGAGTGTGAGTGCGTGTGTACTGAGAGTTATATAAGTGTGGGTGTGGATTTGAGTGTGAGTGTGTGTGAGGAGGTGTGCGTTATGTGTGTACTGTGTGTGTCCTGTTGTGTGCTTATGTGTGTCATGTTTGTGTGCTGTGTTTGTTGTGTGTTGTGTGTGTGTTGGGTGTTTTACATGTGCGTTATGTATGCATCTTTTGTGTGTTGTGTGTGTCTCTATGTGAATGTGGGTATGTGGGGATACACCCTGAATTTCAAGGGCAGGTACAGAGTCTTCTACTTAAGTGGATGTTACCAAGGAAGGGGCATGGGTGTGCATAGCTGGGATCTCAGCACTACCATTAATTCACTGGAGATCTTGGATATTACTTACTCTTTCTAAATCTGTTTTGTTATATGGGACATGGGACTTCTTGGCTCCCAAAGTTGTTTAAAGGCTTAGAGGTCATAGACATACAATGCATCAAGTTGTACCTGACACACAAAAAGCACTCGATAAGTAGTAGCCATTTTAGTCCTAACTGAAGTTAGAGTGGAGTATTCCACCCATAGTGAACTCCAAAAAAATTACCCACTGATTCAAGGTCCTTCATATATGTTCTTTGGCTTACAAAATCATGAGCCACATCCAGAAAGAAAGAAAAATTGAATTACAGATGAGTATATTAATGACATCTCTTGAAGATAATAGGTAACTTATGGAAGCACTCCAGGTTTCAGATGACCAGTAGTCCTCCCCATTCCATTCCCCCATCCTAACCCAACAGAAGGGGAAGTATGCACCCCTGGGAAGGGAGAGAATAGCTCTAAAGACAAGGAAGCAGTGACTAGTGTCCTGGCACACTCTGTTCATGCACTGCCCATTCTTAGTGTTCAAGGTGGTTAAAAATGGTTCATCACTTTTCATCAGCTATTTTCAGAAATGAGCTTGCTTCCTCTGAATTAATCATCTTTGTATTCATCTCCCATTCAAAAGTGACTTATTGCTGTATTTCTAACACTTCTGGAGAAAGTGTTAATGGATGGAAGATGGCAAATATTTCTAAAATTTAGAAAAGGACTGGGAAGTTCAAATTTTCATCCTTTATACCTACAGAAGTATCCAAATTGGGGTTTCATAGGTACTTACCCCTTTGTCGAAGGTAGCAAAAAATTTGATATAAGGTTGGAAGTGTTCAGCTGCCTCTTCGAAAGCCTTGTAATCTGAGAGAAAAAAAAAAGATCAAAGAAAGAGAACTTTTAAAGATGCATGCCAAAGACATTTCTCTTTTTAAATAATGTAGAGAGAGTGGGGAGCCAATTAATTGTGACTGGAAAATTATTTAGTAGATTATTATTTAGATAGAAAACTATTTAGTTCTATTTATTTTTTTTTAAAGATTTTATTTATTTGACAGAGAGAGACACAGCGAGAGAGGGAACACAAGCAGACGTAGTGGGAGAGGGAGAAGCAGGCTTCTCGCCAAATAGGGAGCCCAATGCGGGGCTCGATCCCAGGACTCCGGGATCATGACCAGAGGTGAAGGCAGACGCTTAATGACTGAGCCACCCAGGTGCCCCTATTTATTGCTATTTAAACCCACAATTTCCCCCAAGGAGTTTGAGTTGAGTGGTATTCTATTGAGCTAAAGAAGAACCCTTTACCACATTTTTATGTCTTTTCAGAAATTGGTAGATGGGAAGGAGAAAGTGAAGGAAACTGAGAAAGGGAGAAAAAGAGAATATTAGACTCTAAACCCGAGGAAAAAGTTATTCCACTCAGACTCACCATTAGTTATGAGTGTGTAAGCACAGCTTCCTATAAGTGACCACCAGATGAGAAGGAAATCCATCTTAGTATGGAAAGCAACCTCAATCAAAAATGACATCATGAAAGTACTTTAAACTTCTTAGCAGAAGTCCCCTTTTTGGTAAACCCTCATTTTTCTTTCCCTCTTTTTAAGTTTTCATCCTTATTCTGATTCCTTGAGAAGATGATTTAAAATCAATCAAGCCTATGCTTGACTCTGGTTTCAAACTTGAATCCAAACTGGCCATGTTACGCCTGAGACCCATGAGCGTGGCCATGCTGTGCCTTATCACATCTCGTCAGTTACCTGGAGAAGACACTGGTATTTCAGCCTTAGAGGTGAGGGTAATGAGGATGGGAATGCTCACAGGCTGGTTCTACATAACATCCATAATTCTGAAAGTTGGTGACACTTTGATTCATTCTTAAGAAGATTAACCTCTTCTCATTTTGTCGAGTTCCCTATCTCCTAATCATTAGAGACATAAGCTTTTGCCTGAGTTCCAGGAGCATGCAGAATTTTTCAAGTCAATCAAAAACATTTCACGATTAATACTGGCTCAGGGAACACAAACATGAGTAAGACAAAGACAATGATCTCAAAGGCACACAACCCAGAGTTGGTATGGACCCTTAAAGAACCACAATGTAATGTGATGGTTGCTAGAATGGAGGTAAGTGCAATAAACACAGATGAGAGGGGGTTGAAAATTTACAAGAATGCCCTTCCATACTGATACACATTCACACAGACTTCTCCCCATAAGGGTAATTGGTTAGTTGGAAAATACATCATATAGCCTGATAGTTGAGGTAGAGAACTGGGTGGATGGGGAAGAAGATGGGTGAGAGGTTTGGAGAATGAATAGACAGAAGGTGGGAGAGAGGATTAGGGCCATACCTAAGCTATTTACATCTGTCTAAAACTATAGTGTTCTCCAGCAGAATCATCTGTATCCTCCCTCCCTGACCCCCTTGTCCCTGATGAATCTCTCCCCACGTCCTTGAACTCCTCCCCTGCTGGAAAGGATGGCCTACACCTGTGTCCAGAGAATTCCCTTCTTCACCTAGGGAACCAATCTGTATCCCTTTTAAGAAGAAAAAGGGTAGAGCAAGATAATTTCCCCAAGGTGACACTTCAAACTGTGGTTGAACCTTTAGCCTTTCCCAAATAGTGGTTGTCTTCTAGGGTACCTGGTCTAATCTGCTCTGTTTGATGTCATGTGACATCAGGTTTTCCTGCCCTCATGTCCTGTTCTGATGCTGACCAGCTCCTTCCTGGCTCTTCCAGTCTGACCCTCCGTTTCCCCTTCTGGAATAGGCTCCTGAACAATTAGCCTTTAACTGCCGGCTTACTGCGTACTGCATTTCCTCACCTTTCTTCCCACATCTCACGGTTTTCCATACTGGATACTGGCTGCCCACCTCCAGATTTCCCCCAATTTGGCATTCTTAACTATCTGCTGAGTTCCCCTCAGAAGTTCCTGTTACCCCCTCTCAATGCTAGCATCCATAGCTATGTGCTCAAGTTGGATGTGAAGTTTCATACCCAACTTCCTTGGAAGATGTAGCCCCCTAATTCTTCCAAGTCCTTTCTAATTTGATCTTCTATATCTTAGGAGACTTTTCTCCCAAACCATGCCAGTCTACCTCTGTGTTCAAGCCCTCTAGTTCTCCACTGTCCTTCCATTTCTCTGTAGGATAGCTTGGGCTCATTTTGCAAAGCCAATGTCTCTGTGCCATTAAATATCCTTGACCAGTCACCCTCAAACTACAGCAGAAATACAGGATTCTTCCTGAGTGCTTCCCCTGGGTACCTTCCCAACTCCCCACCTATGGACCCCATGCTCTTTTGGACGGCAAGAAGAAACAGGGAGACGTGAATGTCTGATAGAACTTCGTGATGCTTTCAGTCAGTGTGTAACAGCCATACATTTTTTGTGGTGATAAAACTTTCTGCATGTTTTCTATAACCATTCAAAATTTCACAGTAGTTAATATTATATCTGAAAGTGTAAACTTATTGCATTCTATAATATTTTCTAACTAAGATGTCGTCAAGCATGACAGCTGGAGAGATCCTTGGTGAAACCGCTTCCTCACCAGGTCTTCTCAGTTGGTGTGATTGTGACTCTAGTCCAAGCTAGTTTGTCATTAGTAATGGTTTTCGGTTTGTGATACTGTAAAATATTCAGGGTTTGGGGGTTTTTTTGTTTTGATTTCATACACTTGAATGTTCATATTGTCTACTAACATCAATGGAATGAATGTATGACTGCTATTCTTTATCATGTTCAACATCATCATCGGTATTACTAACATGATCTGGGCTTAGACTTTCCTAAAGACAAAGTTTGTCAATTTAAAGATAAAAATTCAACCTTAAAAAGGAAGTTGAGGGGCGTCTGGGTGGCTCAGTGGGTTAAAGCTCTGCCTTCGGCTCAGGTCGGGATCCCAGGGTCCTGGGATCGAGCCCTGAATCAGGCTCTCCGCTCAGCGGGGAGCCCGCTTCCCCCTCTCTCTCCTTCTGCCTGCCTCTCTGCCTACTTGTGATCTCTGTCTGTCAAATAAATAAAAATCTTAAAAAAAAAAAAAAAAAAGGAAGTTGAAATGGCTCGCTAGTGATTTTATTACTTAAATCTCCAGAAAACAATCTCTAAGACTAGTAGAACTCGATCTGTGTATTCTTAAGGAAATGCTTCATTATTATTTTTGAAGTATATAATATGGAAAACTTTGAATTTGAAATCTATTCAAATTAAAAGAATATTACATTTGCCGGTGAAAATGAAAGTAATAGCCATTAGGACTGAAGCAATGCTCATGCCCTTGAAGTGACAATTTAGAGATCAGATTTCCTAAATTCCACTTTAGGAAAGACCACTCATCAATCAGAGGAAAAGCAGTAACTATTGCCTTGTCATTTGCCGCCATCCACCTGTTCAAGCAAAGTCTCTTGTTGACTGTGACCATCAAGAAGAGATTGTTTAGGGGCACCTGGGTGGCTCAGTGGGTTAAAGCCTCTGCATTCGGCTCAGGTCATGATCCCAGGGTCCTGGGATCGAGCCCCACATCGGGCTCTCTGCTCAGCAGAGAGCCTGCTTCCCCCTCTCTCTCTGCCTGCCTCTCTGCCTACTTATGATTTCTGTCTGTCAAAGAAATAAATAAAATATTAAAAAAAAAAAAGAAGAGATTGTTTAAACCCTTCACCAGGAGTTGCGTGTCATTGTTTCAAAAGCTATAGTTTTAGAAGGAAGTACAACATTCTCATTCAAAAAAATCTAAAAATATTTTATTTGGAGGATTTATACAAGGCAATATTGAAAACTTTTCTATTATCTTCTTTTACTATTATTATTAGTAGTAGTAGTATATAAAGAAAGCAAGAGAATCTTTTGTTTTGTTTTGTTTTTTGTTTTTCTACTAAGTCCAAATCCTCTCCAGTTTACCCCACAGGCTGGGCAAACATCACCACATTTTGTGTGTGCCATGACCTAAAAAAGTGTGTAAAATCTTGAAAGTACAAAATGGTGTTTTAAGTGTGCAAGATATAAAATCAGATTGCTAGGATTTAAATCTTGGCTGTAGGATTTATTTACTAATTTAACTTTTTTGTTCTTTTCATTTCTTCCTCATCAAAACACTGATAATATGGTAACTGCCTTACAGGCTAGTAGTGAGAAATAAGGTGGGGTGTCACTATGGAGCTCCTGGCATAGACCCTGGTACATGACATGTGTTGATTAAATGGAGTTGTTTTTGTCACTGTCTTAGTAGGGAGGAGAGGAACTAGAAGATGTGCTCTTTATCCCAATCTGTGCCTTGCTTTCCTTCTTACCTGCTATTCTGAGCTTAATGGAGGGGAGAGAAACAGAGGACGAAAGAGATTGAAGGGTGGGGACAGAAATGGATAAAGGGAAATAGAAAGAAGTTAAGGAGAAAGAAGAAGGAGGCAGCTGGGGCACCCCAGAGTAGTCAGCATCTGTAAGAAACATAAAAATTGAAATGAAGTCACCCAAAGGAGGGCTGGGCAAACTTCTTTGGATAGCCACCTTCCTCCCAGATACAGGCTTTTATATAGCACAAGAGAAGGCAGCTAAGTCTGGTCACAGGAGAGGGAAAATAGGTGGCTTGCTGGTGAGAAGGCCAAGGGTGCCTGCTGGCATACAGGCAAAGAAACAGCTTTGCCAATAATTTTCAAAATATTTTGGAGTTTCCAGAAACATCATAAGCAGCCCTCCTTTACATGTCCCCCATGTACTAATGCTACCAGATCCTCTTTTGTGGTTATGCCACAGCTGAGGCTCCAGAAAAAGTCTTTCCTCATTGTGCCATGCTGCCAAAGTTGTTTAAAAAGACCTACTCCAGGAGTTAGCTTGCCTGGTCCCTCCTTTTCCTGACTCCCACTCTCCGCTCTCTCACTCCCATATGGATTGTGGTGATGCTATGATGCATTCCCGTGCCCACCCAAAACCTGACCACAAAGCGTTCAAAGGGATTACACCCAGGGGTGAGGCTGTGCTGTTGAGGGCAGCTTTGGTGGTCGACTGTGGGCTTGGCCAGCAATTTTCCACATTGTGTGACGGCAGCTGAGCCCTGCCCACCCAAATTTTCCTCTAATCCTGTCCAAGTGACTGAGAAGCTCTCCAACTGGCGGCCACAGGAACTGCCAACATCAGGGAGAGAGCCCACTCTTTACCTATTTTAGGGAAGAGTCCCACTGGTAGGTGGACAAGTAGAAAAGGGGAAGGAAGACTTTTCTCTCTATAAAACATGCTCCTCCCAAGACCAGAGAACATGGCCCAACCTTTATGCTCTTTCAGCATCCCTGCCTGCTTTGCATACTTTTGCAGATGGGTCCCATTACACAGGGTGTGAGGACAATTTTCCCTTTATTCCACCCAGCACCGGATATGCTGATGGCCCATCCTCTTCATCAGCAGCATTCTAAATAACTGGTGGGGAATTTAGCCTTTAGACTCACAGGTGGGGCTCAGAAAACTTACACTCCGAGTCCTCACTCTTGAAAAAGCCAATGAGTTTGATCTGGTCCTCAATGCGTTCGAAGGCTTGGACCTCCAGCTTGCTGTTGATGATCTCCACAGGGTCTTCAATTAGCTGAAATGCCACACACATGTACACAAGATATGTTCAGTGAGAAAAATGTTCCCTCCTCAGTGGGGACATCAGGCACACACGTAGGACGCTTTGGCAGGGAGCTGTGGACCCCATCCTCCTCCAGAGCACACAGCAACAGTGCCTTCTGAGGAATCAGCTTAACTCAAGGGGTAGGCTGACACTAGACAATTCTATTTCTCTTCTCCATTATCAATTTCGGAATGGCATGTGACCCAGCTCTGGCCAGTGACTCTTCGGGTAGATTTGCTGAGAGATTTGGGGAAATTCTCCTTTCCTTCCAGGAGAACAGTGGAAGCCAGGTCCTCTCCCCTAGCCCGCACCACTTGTTGAATATGAATGAGGAGATGTGACATATCAGCTCCAATCACTGGTTGTCTTACAAGCAACTAGAAAAGAGTCAGCTTGAGGACAAAGCCAACACACTGAAGAGAGCATGATCTCTGATTTATCAGTCAGTCTAAAATCTGCCCTCCCTCTGTTGTTCCATTTGTGCTTTTTGTGTAGTTGGGCATGAGTTCTGTCATGTGCATCTAAAAGCCTCCAGTTAGCTGATAGAGATTGGCCCAGAATTTTCTGTTGCCTCCCTCACTTTTTTTTTTTAGGTCTTGCAGGGATGGGTCCAGGAGAGAGCCAGGCAGAGTCTATGGGTGGTTTTTTTTTTTTTGCAGGAGGTGGCTTTCCACTCACTTCTGACTCACTCACTCTGGGTTTTTGAGGCCATGAGGAAAAGGCACCAGGCCACCGTGTGTTAGCTGGTAGACAGGGAATCATCGGTATGGATATGATTTACCTGCACAGGAATCTGTTCAAAAGCATTCAGCTTCATGGCTATTATGGAAAGTATGAGTTTATCTATGGATAACATAGTTTTATAGTGTTGTTCCTCTATGTGCCTGAGCAGATGGCTCTGAGAGTGTTGTACCCCCATGGCCGAGAGGGACTGTGATATTGGGAAGCTCGTTAGCCCTGCTCTTTATCCTGCTCTGACGGTAACTCAGCTGATTATTACTTCATCTTTGGGTGATTATCCACCTCTTCTTCCCACTCTCCCCAGCTCTTCTTCAGAAGCCCTAGAACAAAGCCAAGGGGATTTCAGGAGATGGTGGTGTCGAATTGCTAAGAAACTTAATGTGTTACTACAACACAGTCCCGATTAGTGACCCCTAATAAAACAATTTCTGAGGTAACTTAAGGACCAGCTTCCCACCAGAAGAAAATAGACTGCAAAGTAAGTCCTCCTTAGTTTTTTGCGAAGCCCAAGGAATCAGTCTTAGACCAGGACAGATTATCCAGCTTCTTGGTTCTTACTTTGGGATTTCACTTTCCTTTATATTTGAACCCAAAGAGCCCCAGGCAGGAGCACTGTGCATAAATGCTTACATCCAGAAGAAATTCCACCAGGACGTCAGCAGCAAACTCGCCATCAAACTCAATCGTACGATCACCCTTAAGAACATACAGGCTTCCTTCTTCATCAAAACCTGGAAGAAACAGAGTCCACAAGACAAGGTCATTCCAATGCAAGAAGAGCCATCCTGTGGGCTGACGTCTGGCTCAGGATACCTCGGTGATAGTGGGGTCAGGATCAGTGGGGCCAGCATTCAACTTAGGATCAGTTCCTTGAAAACACCCTTGTAAAGGGTGCCCAAAGCACATGTTTAAACTGAAATCGTTAAGAACCAGCAGCTCTACCAGGACTTCAGTTTGAAAGAAAAATCTATTCTCTACCCTACCACTGCTTTAATTTTCCAAAAATATTGCCAACCCTATTCTCCCTACCAAAAGTTTCATTGCCCCCTGCCCACTTGACTTCTTAGCCAGGCATTCCAGATTCCAGTCCCTCCACAACCTAGCACCAATTCTACCCTTCACATTCTCTCCTGGGTAGACTTGCCCTCTTAATCCCCTCTGCATCTTCCTTGCTTCTTGCCCTTGTGCTGATGTGAGAGGGTGTGTAAAGGAAAAGTCACAGATATTCTCCTGGTTCCCCAAATTTGGAATGACTTCTACCCTTGCCCCCTGCACCCTGATCCTGGTCAGTTCCTTCGGGTCTCCACTTTGGACTCATTTTTCCCAAGAAGGCCACCCTCTTGCCACTATTGTTCTTCTCTTGGCTCCATTTACAGTACTCACCGGAACAGAAAGCTCTCCAAAGGCAGAACCAAGGTCCCCTCAGCACCCCAGGATCTTGCACAGAGCCTGGACACATCAGGGACCCCAAAAATGTCCGTGGCCAGAATGAAAAGTTTACTTTTCTATCATCGCTGAATTCTGCACATCTTCTTTTTCCCAGTTAGCTGATAATGCCACAAGGGAAGGTTCTGCATCTTTTCTACCCTCCATTGCTCCTGGCGTAATACTGTGTGCTTTAACAAATGCTTGCTGGAAAACTGTTTCCCCCAGGAATATTAAATAACCGAGGCTGGCATTTAGTTCAACTGCATGGCATCCTTGAATCCTTAGATTAATTTTTTTCCAAGCTCTCTATTAGCTGGAGAATGCTTTCTCCAATTGAACTCTCCTGCAGAATCTCTAGGGAAAAGGAGGCTGGCCCACCGCCTGCTTTTTCCCACCCAGAGCACGTCTGAAGAGCCCAGGGCACACCCTGGAGCACCATTTGTAAACCCAAAGGGCCGCTGTACCAGGTATCCTTGAGGCCAGCAATGACTGATCATGAAGGGTACCTTGGGAACATCAGCCGATATCCCGATGTCAGATTTTGCTCTAAGTGAGGTCAGTTGGGAGGCTTTTGTAGTAGTTCAGGCATAGCCTGATGGAGACAAAACTCAGGCAAATGGAAGAGAGGAGAAGATGAAGGAGCAGCTTCACAAAATACAACTCTCTTACAAACTCCGAGAACTGTTTGGTTCAAAAGAACCTCCCCCAGTTCCTCCAGGGTGAGCTTTTCAGGAAAAAATCATGTCGATTTTTCAAGCTCCATCCACTGGGAGAATATCCTTTGGTCCATTCTTATGAAAGCTCTCCCAGCTTGTCCCCTGGCTAAATTTTTAGATCACTGGAATACTAGTGCTTTCCTCTAACTAAATTTACTGGAAGTTCTCCCAAATTCAGCTTCCCATGAAAACAACAGGAAAGAAAACTAGGAAATCAATAAATTCTGGAGGAAGAGAAACATGGCATTGAATTGCTTTTGACGGGGGAAAGAGTTAACACACTTAGTTCTCCTGCTCAAAGGGAAAACATATTCCTTTATTTGTCTCCAGGGAAAACGATAGCCCAGACATTATTAATAATTCATTATCATTTTATAGTCATGACTTTTTATTTGTATCTAACCTAAATACAGTCGCAAAAAATTTAAATCTTAAAAAAAAAAAAAGCTGGTCTTCTTGAAAATATAATAAAGGACAATTGTTTGTAATGCCCTCAGATAATGAACTTCCATGTACCTGATGCCACTACTAATCTTTTCTCCCCCACTGTGTTTACTACTCCAAATCCAATTAACCTTTCTTCAAAGGTCCTGTTTTATAACCTCCTGCTATTTTTAAATAGCCGTTCTTCACTGGTCATGCAGAAATGGGCAGTACCCGTGTGTGGGTGTTCAGCAAGCAGAGGAACTCCCCATATTCTCTCTCTCTCTCTTGGTATTAGGGGTGTGAGATTCTTAAAGTGCACTTGGACTTAAGCAAGACACATGGACACAAGATATCCCAACATGCACTGTGCAGTCGCATCACCGTGCCTCATCTAAATGCTACCTCTCGCCCTCAGCAATTATGCCCAGCTGAGGTTTAGCTTTACACGTAGAACCACTGTGACCCCAGAGTCACTACTATTACTGCTATCTTGTGTTGGCTGCTTAATTCATGAGGTAAGGAAATAATAGTGACGGGAGAAGAGATTTTTCTCTTCCCCAGAGAGATCACCATGGCAGTGACATAAAGAGGCTAGGCTTTTAACCCCCTCTAGGAGCCAAAAAGAAAGGTTTGCCTCTTTTGCGTCAGTTTCTACGATGATGTAAAGCTACATTAGATCATTCATGTGAAATCATTCAATTCAGGCCAATACTGCTTTCATGAAACTCTTCCCCATCCCGAGAATGAGGTGTGCAGAATCATTTCATATTTGCTTAAAAACAGTCCAGCTATCATGCACAAAGAAATGAAACTGTACTCTTTTTTTTGCAAGACACATTCATTTCTTCCTGGTATACCTCAGAAAGCCCCACTTACCCAGTTTCTTGGCAAGCTTGGCTTCTTTCTTGGCATCCACCGTCACAAAGCCTATATCTTTATGTTCCAGGACCTGGGCCACAAGCTGAAGGAGAAGACAAGCCAGAGGGTGAGCAGACCGAGGGCAGAAAGATGGCAGAAAACATCATGGGATAATATTATGACGTAATAACGAGAGGATTTTCCTCCATATGTCCTGCTAATCTGACCAATTCAAACAGCATAAAGGGATTCCATGCTATCCCCTCAGCAGAAGGATGGTTTAGCAGAAGGCTGAGAACCAAAGAGAGAAAATGTGAGAATCCTAAGATATAGGATTTGGAAGACTATATCCACTGTCCCATACCCTCCTCTGCCCTCAGGGTGGATAAACTTTGGATTGAGGAGGTAGGACTCAAACAGGAAGCCAAGAATACTTGGATGACCATGGATACATGACAAGAGGCTCAGAGCCCCTTGCTAGCCACCATTTGAACCTGGAGTCAGGTGGTGGCACGAGAGTTCACAATGTGCCCTGTGTGGTCACTTAATCGTGCCCCATCTAAATCCTCCCTCTCGGTCTTGAAAAAACTGAGGAACACCAGAAAAGCTGAGGAAAACAAAGGAGACTGGTGTCCCCAATACCCAAGCACAGTTCTTGAGCTCCCTCAACCCCTGGGCTTGTGGAGTAGGAATGTGCACTGTGTGTGTCTGGCCGATAGATCCAAGATGGCCCCTGAAGTGTTCCTGCGGCCCACAGAGGAAGAACCAGTGGTACACTGGAACAGAACCATCAGCCACAACAGGGAAGAGGATGCAGCGGTGTCCTAGGGGGACAGATGGCTGGAAGCTACTCTGGGTAGACATCAGCACAGATGATGATGTCAAGTGCGGGACTGGCATTGTGTTAACCTCCCTGAAACTCAGTTCTAAGGAAGCAGGGAGGCCCTGACAGACTGAGGTCTAAGTCCTGCCATTTGGCGAATGGGGTCTTAAATAGAAACAGTGGAGAAGCTACCAGAGAGATCACAAAATATTAATATCATTTTTCTTTAAACTTTTTTAAAAAGGTAATTGTAAATTACTGTGCAATTCTAAGAAATAATACAGAGATCCCTTGTACATCTTGGTTTTCCCCAAAGTAACATCTTGCAAAACTGCCATACAATATTGCAAACTAGACTTTGGCATTGATATGGTCAAGGTACAGAATATTTCCGTAACCACAAGGACCCCTCATGTTATCCCTTTATAGTCCTATCTGCTTGTTCCTGCCCTCATCCAACTTCCTAAAAGATTTCTATAAACTTTTCACTTCAAGAATGTTATATAAGTTGAATCATGTAGTATGTAACCTTTTCGGATTATCTTCTTTAACCACCATATTTCTCTGGAGAGTCCTTGAGATTTTTGTGTATATCAAAAGGCCATTTATTTTTTAAATTGCTCCATGGTATGGAGGTACTACGGTTTGGTCAATTAGTCATCCTTGAAGGACATCTGGGTTGTTTAAAGTTTTTGGCTATCATGAAGAAAGCTGCTACAACCACTAATGTGCAGGTTTTTTGTGAAGGTTGGTTTTAATTACTCTAGGAAACATGTTCAGGAACGTGATTGCTGAGTATAGTAATTGCATGTTTAGCGTTTAAGGAAACTGCCAAACTGTCTAACCAAGTAGCTGTACATTCCCACCAGCAACGTAGTGATGATTGATCTAGTTCTTCTACATCTTTGCAAGCATTTGGGGTTGTCATTATTTTTAATTTTAGCCATTTCAACAGATATGTAGTGACATTTCATTATGGTTTTAATTTGTATTTCCCTAATGTCTAATGAGGCCGAACATTTTTCATGTACTTATTTGACATCTATGTCTTCTTTTCCATGAAATTCTTGTTCAGGTCTTTGCCTATGCATTAAATGGGTTGCTTTTTGATTGTTGAATTTTGAGAGTTTTTTAATTTTAGCCCTTTGTCAGAGATGTGGTTTATGAATATTTCTCCCACTCCATAGCTTATCATTTTTATCCTGTTAATAGGATCTTTCACAGAAGAAAAGTTGTTAATTTTGATGAAGTCCAATTTATCAGTTTCTCCATTTATAGGTTGGGCCTTTGGTGTTAAGTCTGAGAACTCATTGTCTAGCCCTGTATCCTGAAATTTTCTCCTAATTCTTTCTCTAAAAAATTTTTGTGAAAAAATTATTTATTTACTTGAGAGAGAGAGAGAGAGCAAGCAGAGGGAGGGGTAAAGGGAGAGAGAGAATCCTGTAGCAGACTCCCCACTGAGCAGGGAGTCTGATACAGGGCTCCATCCCAAGACCCTGAGATCATGACCTGAGCTGAAATCAAGAACATGATGCTTAGTGGGTGCGTGGGTGGCTCGGATGATTAAATGGCTGCCTTTGGCTCAGGTCGTGATCTCCAGGTCCTAGGATTGAGCCCCATGTCAGCCTCCCAGCTCAGCAGGAAATCTGCTTCTCCCTCTGCTTCTGCCTCTCCCTCTTGCTTGTGCTCTCTTTCTCTCTCTCTCCAATGAATAAATAAAATCTTTAAAAAAAAAATTGGATGCTTAACCAACTGAGCCACCCAGGTGCCCCTCTTTTTCTAAAATTTGTATATTTTTAATTTTACTTTTAATTTCATGATCCATTTTGAGCTATATTTAGGTAAAGTGTGAGATTTATGTTGAAGTTCTTTTTTTTTTCTGTTCAGCACTATTGTTAAAAAGTCCATCTCTCGGTATTTACCCTAAAGATACAAACGTAGTGATCCGAAGGGGCACGTGCACCCGAATGTTTATAGCAGCAATGTCTACAATAGCCAAACTATGGAAAGAACCTAGATGTCCATCAACAGACGAATGGATAAAGAAGATGTGGTATATATACATAATGGAATAATATGCAGCCATCAAAAGAAATGAAATCTTGCCATTTGCGACGACGTGGATGGAACTAGAGGGTATCATGCTTAGCGAAATAAGTCAATTGGAGAAAGACAACTATCATATGATCTCCCTGATATGAGGGAGAGGAGATGCAACGTGGTGGGTTAAGGGGG